CCTGCCTTATATGTGCATTTTTAAGCAAAAATTATGCATGTATAGAACACTTTTTTACATAAAATTGATCGGAAATCTCACATTGTGCGGGCTCCATGTGATGATAAAAAAATGCAGAAAAATCACCCACTCCTCCTGCTATCGTGTCTTATCTGTGCAAGCCCTATAAAAAAAGTTTATGTACATGTAATGCTATTCTTTTTAAAGTACCACAAAATAAAAAATTAAGATGACAACAAAAACTTTTATGAGTTAAATTAGTGATTTCTGTCTTAACAAATTCAGCTTGATCGAGTTAAATTAGTGATTTCGATCTTAACAAATTCAGTTTGATTTGAAATTCATTCTTTAAAACTCAATTTTCAACGATATATTTTCTCAATAAAATGATTTTACAAGTATTAAAATCGCTTTTTACAAAGTCTATTACAAAAAAAATAAAGTCAAATAAGGGATCAATGATCATTAATATATTAAAACCATACCTCTAATCGATACATAGGGTTGAAATAATTCCTTTCACTTTTGACAATCAAGAACTTTTTAGCATTAAACAAACATTAAACTTTGCACTTTTCCTTGTAAATCTATCTATCCCTCGATCAATTCATTATCTTATAGAAAAGCAAGCTTGAGAAAAATGCAAGAAAAATATTGAATTTGAGAAGGGGGAAAAAAAAAAACTTGATTGAAAATGACATTTATGGCCGTAGTGAAACACTAGTGACCCACCTCTGGCAAATTGCATGTGGGAGTCCCCTGTTAATGCCAAAACGTCGCCGTCCACCCAGCTGGCACACCCAACTATTGGGTTTGTTCACCTGTTGCACAAACCACATTATGACTACGCTCCGTCCAACAATAATATATTGCACTAGTTTGTACCCAACTTTTAAAAATGAGAAAATTAGTTCCTAGCATTTTATTATTATTATTATTACACTGTCAATCCTTAATAATTAAAGCAGTTTAATCTTTGTCACAATATCAAGTGATCTTCATATGTTCAAATTTAAGAAATAAATTACTCAAACTTATTTTCAACAACACATTTTATAAAATTCACAAAATTTTGACCACATATTTAATCAACTTATATTGGAATTTTTATTAAAATATAATTTAGCCAAACCCAGCAACACCTAAGTTTTACTTCTTAACTTGATCTAGTGCCAAAATATTTGAAATAAGAGTGTTTTCAAGGGTTACGTCAAGGATTAACAAAAACTCATTTAACAAGACAAAACACTTCGAAAAAAATCCAAAAATTCAAAAATAACTATTGGCTCTAATTGGTTAATGTGTCATTTGGAATGATTGTGCACTTAAAATAAAATGTCGGAGATCAACTTGTTTGTTTTTAAAATTGAAGGAGATAAACTTGCCATACGAATAATTAAGGGCGGTAAATGGGCCGAGCGGCTCGTCGGCTTACCCGCTCGGCTCGCAAAAACGGAGCTCGTGGACAGCTCGGGCTCGTAAAAACACGAGCCCGAGCGTGAGCCGAACGGGCCGATTTCGTGGGCGAGCCAAGCCCGCGAGTGGCTCGTTCCAAACGAGCCCAAGCTCGTGGGCTCGTATGAAAATGTGACCGAAACGATCACTTTATGAACACTGACTTTTTGTCAATGACCGTTTCGGTCACTGAATTTTTTCAATGACCGTTTTGGTCCTTATATTTTTTTCTATAAGTAGTGGCATTTAGCCACAAATTTTTTTTATAATTCTCTTAACTCTCAATTATTTTTCTCTCAACTTTCTTGTATTGTGTTGATAACTTACAATTTTTATATACAATATCCAATTCTTATTTCTCAGTTCTCACTATATTTATTGAAATTTCATCTAATTTTCATTTCTCACTACATTTATACAATTATTCTTCTACTAGTTATTACTTATTACAACTAAACAAATGGATCCACGCTCATTTGTCGAAAACTTGCTCGGTGTGGGAGGAAACGAATCACCTATGACATCGCAAAGTCAATTTTAGAATCAATTTGAAGGTCTAAATAACGTACCCCTACCTGAAAATATTCCAAATTTGGATCTTCATCATCATGTAAGCGACAATCCAGATTATCCAATTAATTTGGATGATGTTCACGTTCTCGAAGAGGAACACGATCAGAAAGAAGAGGTTGAATTAAACATTCCTAATGCGAGGGGAAAGCGAAAGGGGAAAAAACAAACAAAATGTTGGGATCACTTTAAATTGATTTCAACGTGAAAAATCGTCAATGGAGTCCAAGAATCCAAAGCAGTATGTAAATACTGCCAACAAAGATTGGCATGACAAAAAGGAATTGGCACCACTCATCTCAACCGTCATTACAAAGTATGTGCGGCCAAACACAGACTTATTCCAGAATGTCAAACACAATTGCAATTTGACAGTCCAAGCATCGGTGGTTCTATTGCACCCCTATCCACATGGGTGAATTCGGAGGAGAAAGCTCAAATCGGAATGGTGAAGCTTGTTACTGGTGTTAAGTTGCCTTTGACATTAATTGACAACCAACACTACGTCTCGTATGTGAAAGAGTATTTGCAGCTAATGTACGTTGGGGTAAGTCGAAACACTCTTCGTTTTGATACAATACAGTATTTTACTTCAACAAAACAATAATTAATTATGAATTAGCAAAAATATTGAGATGTCATATCTTTAATTTCATTTATATGGGAAGAGATTAATAAAAGTGCATATATAGCTGCAACTGCACATTATATAGACCTACTTTAGTGCATGCATAAAAAAATTATTGCTTTTAAAATTATTGAATTTCCTCACAACTCTAATAATATATTTAATGTTATTATTGGTATTATTAGAGAATATCATTGCGAAGGTAAAATTCGTTCATTTACTTTCAATAATGCTAATGTTAATAAAGTAGTTGCTGAAAAATTGCATATGGTACTACAACCTGATTTTGGTGAGTATTTGTTTCATATTCGTTGTGTATATCATATTTTGAATTTAATTGTCCAATATAGTTTAAAATATGTAAATGATGAACTTCAAAATATTAGGAACGCACTAATATATATCACAATCTTTCCAAGTAGAAAACAAGTAGTTGAGGATTACTGTGCTGAAATAGAAGTGCAAAATGCTAAAACATTTGTTAGCGACGTAGGTCTTGTTATTAAAGTCATATGAAGGTTTTGAACATTTAATAGCTGACTTTTATAATAATAGACATGTTAGAAGTGATGACGAGAGTATGTTGACTGAACGTGATTGGTATTTAGCTTTGAAAGTTAAAATTTCTTGACATCTTTTTATGAAACCACTAAAATTTTATCGGGCGTTTACTATCCTACCAGCTGTATGGTGCTTGAACGTTTTTATATAATTGCAAGAACATTTCATAAATACAGAAATGACCCTGATTTTAGTGAAATTATAATTGTTATGAAGTTAAAATTTAGAAAATATTGGGAAGATTTGTCTATGTTATTTCCTTTAGCATGCGTGATGGACCCCCGATATAATTTATCGGGAGCTAAATATATAATTAATCAAATTTCAAACGCCTTAACATTTGATACACCTATCACATATAGAAATTTAGAGCAAACATTATGTGAAATGTATGAATTATATGCGAACCGAATGGGTACCAATATTAGTTGGGTACCATCTGCACCTACTCCTTCTACTGAAATTGAAGAAGAAGATGTGAAAATATTTAATTTATTTCAAGGCATTAACTCGTATAGATTTGATTCATCTGCAATGTGTTCATCTACTACCACTGCCATTGCAATGTCATCACCATATGTATCTCATTCTCATCATACATTTACGGCTTAAGCCATAATGCATTGCCTGCTGAATTAATTGATTATTTCAACCAGAATATGCCAACAGATAAAACAATTAAAAAAAGTTCAGATGAAGTAATTGAATTCTAGCGAAAGTATGAACGACGTTGGCCAGTTATATCTGCGATTGCAAAAGATCTGCTGACATCTCCGATTAGCACTATTGCTTCGGAGTCTACTTTTAGTACATGTAAAAGAGTTTTGAGTGAGGTTAGGAGTCGACTGAAAAAAGATATTTTAGAAGCGTTGATGTGTGTTAAGGATTGACAGGACGCTCATTTTCGACTACAAGATAAATATGTCGAAATTGCATGTCGTCAAGTAAATGATATTTGATTTAATTATATTGATGAAACTTTTCTTTTCTTATCGTTACTTTTAATTTTCTTTAAAAAATTGTACACGCTACAAAAAATTGTTCGTGTACAATTTTTAACTCCACCTACTGAAAATTTAAGTAGTTGGTCCCAAACCCGGATAAAGGAGGGTTTATATTTTATCTATTTTAAAAAGAAAAAAATAAAACTTTCATATTTATTTTTTCTCTCTTTTAGTTTAAAAAATTACTTTTTTTATTTTTCAAATTACCTATTTGTTCTAAAAAAAAAAAAAAAAAAAAAAAAAAAACGACGTCTACTCGCAAGCCGGGCTTGACTCGATAAATTCACTCTATTGAAATAATAAAAGTTCATAAATGAATTTTGATGTAAAAATAATGTGTTTTCTCTCAAAGATATAGAAAATGCACTTCAATAATATTCTTTTTTCGAAACGTATTTATTATTTATTTTTGTGACTAAGAAATTTTCTTTATCATATATGCTAGTAAATCTTTATTATGATAATCATTTTATGAAATATATTTTCATACGCTAGTCGCTAAGTAAACATATTTGGAGGTGAACCTAAATAAATACATAAAATTTAAAGACCCAAGTGCCAATTACTCTAAACTTCAGGGGCTGTGGCCACAATTTTACCCATGATTGTTTAAGATCGAAAGGAACCCTTCATGTGATGTGGTGAGGTCGAGATTGATCGAGAGCACTGTATTACACTGTTCCACAAAGCTGCAGATCCAAAGCTATTAGGACAACATGTGAACATTTGACATGGACAGTATTTACTGCTGTTAAAAAACCGCCAATCATTATTGATGGAATTTCCAGTCTAAAATACTTGACGCAGCGGAAAAACAGATAACAAAATCTTTCTTTCTTCCTGCTTTATATATCATCATCCTCCGTGTTCTTATCATTTCCAGTTCATACAGTATCAAGAAAAATGACCTGGAGTTCTTGAATCTTCAGTAACTTCCTTTTCTGAATTAGTGGTATCATTTAAGAGAAAGCAGAATCAAGAAAAAAGAAGAGCCATACAGGGCTCTCTGAAATGTATATGATATTCAAGCTATTGATCATAGGCGGAGAGATTGTTGAAGAAGAAGGCGAGTGGGAAAAGGAAAGATAAGAAAAAGATCTGTTTATTATATATCTGTTCGATTCAATCCATTAGGTAAAGTTCTCTCATATTTTTCATTTTTGTTCCAAGATCTATATTTGGTTTGGAATTTTAATCTTTAACTACGGTTGTCTTAATTTTTATTTAGTTTTTAACACGCCCTTTACGTCTTTGATGAAAAGCCTGACTCGCGCAAAATTTTGATAATAGAGTGACATTGAATCTTGAACTAATAGCCTATATATGTTCTAATACTATGCTAAAAAGTTTAAGAATTAGAGAGATAACAAATTTATTTATTTATTTTGTCTTCTCAACATTATCTTTATGTACATATATATTGATTAAAGAAAGTTTTCAGGCAACAAATGACCACTGCTGCAATGTCTGGTATTGAGATTGCTCAGAAACCAGCAACTGTATTGAAGAGAAGTGACCTTGAGTTTGCAATATGCGAGTGTTGTGGGCTGACAGAGGAGTGCACAGAGGCTTATGTGGCTCGTGTTCGGGAGCGCTACCAGGGGCGGTGGATATGCGGACTGTGCGCCGAGGCGGTGAAGGACGAGATTGTGAGATCAGAGAAAAGGATTGGACATGAGGAGGCTTTAAATCAGCACATGAGTTTTTGCAAGAAATTTAGGACTTTAAGGCCACCAAAGAATCCCACTGAGGAACTCATTTGTGCTGTTAAGCAGCTGCTTCTGAGGAGCTTGGACTCGCCTCGGTCAAGCCCAGTGAAGAAGGCAGGTTTGCTTCGATCCGAAAGCTGTTGTTCTGATATGGATGATTGAATAAGCGTATGTATTAGTTCTAGATTGTTAATGAATGTTACATTGAATAAATGCTGCTTAAAAGTGGCAGAAAGTGTTGAGATTCTTAGAATACTGTTCCTGTCCTATTAATGTTAGAATCTGGTTAATGTAATCAGTTGTTCGGTATTGACAAGATTTTATTTAATAATAAGTGCTTGGCAGTTGATGACTATGTTGTCTTCTTCCCTTCCTATTTCGTTTAAGGAATGTTCTGCGCATCTAATTTTCAGTAAGATGTAATAGAACCTCAACCAGTCTGTCTTGGGGTGAATTTTCTTTCTTTTTGGCTTTTCTTGGCTCCAATTTTGTTCAATAAATGGCGATTGTAGAGGTTGGAAGTAGGATTAGTCATTTTTTATTTTTATATATATATTTTTTTACGAGGAACTCGCAACCGTTACCCTCCGAATGTGAACTGGATAAACTCTCGGCCTGACGTAATAGCTTGCAAATCATGCCAACCAGGTAAACTGCACTAGACAAGTCCGATGCGACATGTTCGACCGAGAAAGTGTTGGTAGGGGAATTGTACTCGTGACCTAAGGCCTCCGCACTTACCTATTCCACCAACTCGACAACTTCATGAGGGCCGGAAGTAGGATTAGTCTTTCAATTGGTCGTTGTTGCATATGGGTTACTTTCGACTTATTCTGGACACTTCCCATTTCTGTTATTGCATTTAGGAAGAGAAGAAAATATCGAATCATATTTTTGGAATTGTTGTGTGGTGATTTTGATTCGAAAGTGCATTGAACTCATGCACTTCATTCTTGTGCCTTTAGATATGTGTGGAATTTTTTGTGCCATAAGATTCGATAAACAAAAATTTTGAGGTATGACTGCACGATATGGTTAGTATAGGTGGCATGATTATTAAGTAGATTCGACGAATATTGCACAGTATTAAGAAAAAAGTTGAATTCTTGTCTATTGTTATATCTTGTGGAGCTTTAGGAGTTTTTGTTTCTCATTTGTGCAAACATTATTTGCAGCAGAATTACAGGAACGATGTGTTCTGTAGGAGGTGAATTGGAAGAAATAGAAATGGAAAGGCAGGGATTCCAATACTTCGATTCACCCAACTTAAGAGAATATGACCTATTCATCAGAAGAAAATTATCTACATAATAAATATTTTTTATTTAATATTTTCAGCGCGGTCCAACTTACCAAACAAGTCACGAGCGTTCATCCTTCTTTCGATACATGTAAAGAATGTTCTTTAACTTGATACACAATATTACTGGACCCAAGGACGATATTCCAATTTCTTTATCTTTCTCGAATATGTTCATCCATGTTAGGTTCCATGCATCTAAGTTGTATAATATCTTGAGGAGAAAATCGGTGGGAGCTTCCTTTCACAATCCATAGTACTTTCCTTCACAAGTAGCACTGCTTAGCTGTTATTGGAAGAATATACCTGAAGAAAAATTAAACATAGAACTATCAACAGGCCGCCTGAAATAAAATTCTTAATTAATTCACTTTCTTGGGCACTTGTGATGGATATTCCAAAGAACTAAGAAGCATTTAAAATATAAAGAAATCTTCTCCTCCCTAGGTTTCTGGCCTCTGGGGTCTCTGCTGAATTGTTTATTATTCAGTATCTTGTGTGATAGACAGATCATATATTCAATTGGTGGCGGGCGGACAAGCGGTCCAAATGACGTGAAGGCAGGGCCGGGTCTAAAATGCAAAAATAAGAATTAAGAGAGTTCGATTTTCCTTGTTGCTCACTAATCCACAATAAAACAAACCGGGCACTAGAAAGCAGAAATTATAATACTATGAATGCAATATGGGCAAGTTTTGTCCACACAGACCCCAAATAACATGACCTTTATCGTTTGAGTAAGATAACTTCTTCTTTGGAAGATAAGGGTAATATAAAAACTTTTCACTGCTGACATGAAAGAAAATCATAATGAAATAAATTTTTATCATGTTTACTATGGGCAGAAGATCAGACATGTGACATTGAATTTGGTGGGGTTTTATTTGGTAGAATGAAGTGACAATTTAATTAAAAGACGGTTATGAGGAAGAGGAGAGAGTTGTAATTGAGTGATGATTGAGATGATGAAGTAAGACAATATTAGTAATTTCTTATTGTAATTAATACATAACTCGAAGGCAAAATAGAGAGTTCACAATATTAATAAGGGCTTTATAGTCCAAGAATACATTTTCCATTTCCGACTATTAAATAACCACAATTTAACTGTATTCAAGATCATCAATACTTTTATTCCTAACTGTTTTATCATCAAATTTAATCTCCAAACTTTGATTAATTAGCATATTTCATAGTTGATGCATAACTTATGTCAAAATATTCCACTTGCCTGATTTGAGAACAGGAAAAAGATAAATCATCACAATAAATCATGTACGTGTAGTGTGGTTGATGATCTTTCACCTCGGAACAATTAGATAATGGGATGAAATATTATTTAACAACTGGGATAAAATTCCACAAAAATAATTGGAAAATACATGAAAAACGATTTCAAGAGAGCTCCTAATTTCTTGTGAAAATTTTCTGGCCCGGTGCGAGAATGGCCATTGGATCAAAACGGGCCTTTCTCTCTTGGAATCTTGTCCACTGATTTCCAAAATGCTGCTTCCACTCTTCCCTGGAGTTGTAGTGAGGAAGATACTTCTTGAAATCGAAGCCATTTTCAATGCAACATTGAACAATTTCATGATTCTGTGCAACCATTTCTTCCACTGATAAGCCCTTTGGATATGGCAAGCAAAAACGCAGCAATGCTACTAAATAAATGATTTCTCCTTCAGGTAAAACTACGGATGTTCTGTCGTCCCACCTGCTTTAAAACGAATGCTAAGTACGAGTCTAGACTACAAACAAATACGAACGTATACGAATAGGCGTGAAAGAAATTTGTAGTGGTCATTGAACTTTCATTTATGGTGCACATTGGTCCCTACTGGTTGAAAATTGTCTATTTCCTTTAGTCACACGATCACCTAAATGGCATGTAATGACACATTTGAAGGTTTTCTTTTTAATGATTCAGGTTGGTGGTGGACCAACTTTGTTAGCTATTATTGCCGATTTTTTTTAAAAAAAAAAAAGGTTGAACCCTAACTTTGAGGGCCCTCACCACCTCGCCCCTAGAGTTTTGTGAGGGAGGTAAATCGCGGAATGTGCCCCAACAGGCCAGGAAACAAGAGTTGCATGTATACTGCGCCTACAAGGAATCTAATTCCATGTTTCAGGAATCGAACCCTCATACTACGACTGCCAACAAAATATGAGATAACCTTACTCCTTAGTCTTGTAGACGATGGTGCCATAACAAACTTATAAATTACAACCCAAATACATTCACGATTTCATACTTCGTCTATGTTAGTCAAAGTTTATATATGTTTGTGATTTAAACACTCTATTTTTATAAACATATTCAGTCCTTGGACTCCATTAATTTCAAAATACTTTTCTCTCTCTCTCACTATATATTTTTCAGTAATGAATCTCTAACAGGGACTTGGTAGAATTCACAATTTCTCTCTCTCTCTCTCTCTCTCTCTCTCTCACTATATATTTTTCAGTAATGAATCTCTAACAGGGACTTGGTAGAATTCACAATTTTTATTTCCTTTCCAACAACACAATTCTTAACCCTACTAATTATTAGCATTGACAAACACGCACAAAATAAATGAGATTGCCTATTTGTCATAATTTTAGTGGGGAAAACCAACTACATGTTCAAGTGTCTTTAAAGTAGAATAAGGAACAAATGATAATTAATCCAACTGGGGTCCCCAAACACTACCTAACTTAAAAATCTCAATCACTCTATTTCAAATGCCCACAAAAATTCAACGTGTATGAAAATAGTCCATCTCAATTCTATGCCATATAATCCTATGAACCCAAAACAAATGTTCCCTCCCCCCAAATGCTACGTTAAGATTTTTTGTGTGTATATTTTGAATTGTTACATATAGTTCATGTAGCTCGTAGAAATGCATTCGTATATCAAACTACGCATGATTGAACAGTTTGATAGGTTTAACGATTCGATTATTATGTACCGTAAAGATATAAATTTAAATTGTCAATTACGTCGTACATGATATTAAAACTATATTGGTACTTACTTGGAGCGCAATATAGGATAGATAAGCATGGGTCCACCAACTCCATTTTTCAAGATATTTTTGAATATATGACGATCGAAATTTGCAATGTCCTTTTTGGACACAAATAGGTTGAGCCATGGATGTGGGGTGTCCCATATACCATTAGCCTTAGCTTGTTCCTCGACATGCTTGATGCGTAATAGAAAATCCATGTAACTGAGGTCCTTCTGAAAATTCGAATTCTTGCAAAATCTCAACTGTCCAAGCAATTTCTCCGCTCTCTACAAAAGTTAAATAACTTTATTTAAAAATTCAATATCAATGTGAAAGAATTAAGGAAATTATGGATACATGACTTCGAAATAATTAAAAAAAAAATAATGAGAAAATTTTGGCTACTCAAATTTATTATTTGAATTCGGACGACATCACCAAACAGGATTATTATTTAAGCCCCTGTTTGATTTCAATTCTTTGGTCACAAAAATGAAAAATATAACCGTTATTCATCACATTAAGTTATTATATTTGACTTTCTATTTCTTGTGTGGATCTCGTAACGGTTATATTTTTTATTCTCATTCTTACAAAAATGAGTATCAAATGGGGCCTAAATTTAGCAGACTGAGCATAATTAAAAAAAACACAAAAAAAAGAAAGCAAAAGTATATATTTAAAAAATGAGAATTATGCTTCTCGATGCCAACTACCATGGAGCGATTAATAATTTTTCCAATTAATGCCTAAAACACTTTCTACAAACGCAATTGACTTTGCTTGTAATGAAAACTTAATTAGTTGAGTTACCAAATTTTAATTAATTAATTTAATACCCTTATCAGAATGCATTAATTATAAAAAGAAAATGGCGGGATTGATAATTTAAAACCGATTTACTTACCATGTCAACCGAGGAAGGCAACGTTTCATTTTTGTTATAATTCAAAGCCACCTCAAGACAGTAAAGAAGCGGGCCGGCAATTGAAGGGATTTGAGTCGAGTCGAGTCGATTCAGATCTAATGGTACCGATGGCCACCCATTGATCGGATCAT